AATATGCAACCTAATAAACTTAATGTACATACTATTTGAGATACACTTATCCGGTCGCTTTGCAAGTGTATATGAAATTAGTTCTGTCAGTTTCACACAAACACTCACTCCACAGTCTTAATATTATTTATATTAAGATATTTTTTCGCTTAACTGTGTTCTGCTATACATGTTTTTTTTATATCTTTATGAGTAGTAATGTACGTTTGCTTTAGTGTGCGATTGTGTGCATGGAGAGTGTAATTCGGGTCCAGATGGAGATGGACAGTGTTACTGTCAACCACCATATTCAGGACCAAAGTGTGACCAAGGTAATGGTTGATTATACCTCTATTTATCTGTCACAGCCCTGCAATAGCCTTATATCTTTTTAATAATAATAATAATAATAATAATAATAATAATAATGTGTCATACAATGTCAGAAACCACATAAGCAAGTCTATTTGGGATACAAATGAACTTCACAATGTAGTTTTCACAATGCTAAACTGGATGCTAAAGATGTCTCGGTTGATCAATTTCATTTAGGGATTATGGTAACCTTGTGTAAATTAAATTTTTGGCAGAACTGTTCCTCTAAAGATTTCACTGTACAGTGTATCAGCTATTAAGTATATCAGTTAAGAACTAAGGCAAAGTTAATGAGAAGCTAAGGAACTTAAACGGTGATTAACTCACCACCTTAACTCCTGTATAGAATTAACATATAACATATTCTGCATAGAATAACATTATTAATTCTCTAATATCAGTTTTAGCCCAATGCAGTGTCTGGGTTTCCTAAATAAATGTCCACTATGGCCCAAAAAAGTATTAAGTCTCTAAATGGTTGCACATCACGTTCAACAAGGTTCCTCACAAACATTCAAAGCAGCAAAAGTCACCAACTATATCTCGAGTTGTAGCCCCCTTTGTAGACTAAAAGTTTTTATTCTGTGAAATAAAAAATCTAACAAATGAAATTTTTGTGATATCAGTCTGAACCCTTTGGAAGCCCTTCTTCTGCCTTCCCCCTTTCTATTCTGCATGCTTTCATATTTGCATGGTTTAGGTAAAAAAACAACAACTAATCATTTAGACATTTAAAAATGATGATGAGAATGTACATTACCTTTGTAGGGTTATACTTTAAATAATGGAGGCTACCAGTTGTCATCAGAAATAACATAATTAGCTGAATGGAATCATCCATTATTTAAAAAAATGGAAAGAAAATGACATCACTGCAACTCCTAGAGTAGGCCATCCAATAAAATTTAGTTACCAGGTAAGCCGGGCATTAGTCAGAGATGCAACCAAGAGGCCAAGGATAACTAACGCAGATCAAAAGAGCAACAGCTCAGATGAGAGAAATTGTTCACAGGACAACCATAGCCCAGACACTCCACAAAGCTGAGCTTTAATGGAATTACCTTGAGAACACCATCCCCCCCAGTGAAGCATGGTGGTGGTAGTATCACATTGTGGGGATCAGCAGGGACTGGGAAACTGGTCAAGATGGATGGATGGAGCTAAATACAGGGAAATCTTAGAAGAAAACCTGTTCCATTCTGCAAGACATTTAAGACGGGGTTGGAGGTTGACCTTTTAACAAGACAATAACCCTAAGCATACTGCTTAAGCTACACTGCCTAAACTACACTGGAGTAATTCCAAACCAAACATTTCAGGATTCAGATGTGTAAACTTGATAGAACCTGATATTTTGACTTCCACAACATGTCTCACATTTTTACAAGGTAATATATATACAGTACAAATTGTAACAATATAATTGTAACCGTACAAAATGTGCAAAAGTTCAAAAGGGGGGAATAATTATGCAAGGAAGGTAATTTGTTGTAATGTGTCATGCTTACTATTATGCAGTTAACTGACAATGATCAGAGGCATGTTTAGGACGGAGCTGAAGCACCAGGAAAACAGGAAGTAGAACAGTAAACAAAACAGAAACCAAACAGAAGGCAAATGAATGAATGAAACAGAATATACATCAAAATCCTGTGATCAACTTTGAGCATATAGCAATTAATGCAAAAATTTATAATGTTATAATAAAAATTGTCATAATGTGATGTAAGTCACAGCACCTGTTATAGGACAAAATATGTGTTCTGTATTCCAGAAAATATGTTAACAAATTTAGCTGAACATGATTGTCATCATGGGTCTAGACCTTGACCGTGATTATGAAAGATGAATATAGGAATAAATAATCTTATCTGTTGCCTCTCTTTATGCAGTTACGTCCTCCTGTTCAGACTGCAGTCCCTACTCATACTGTAAAGGGGAGGGTTCGACTGCTCAGTGCAAATGCCTTCCATCCTTTTCAAAGGTTGGACTCTTCTGTGTAGGTAAGTTCTTTTAACATGATAGACATTTCAGATTACATATTGCATGTCATATGCATGAACAGGTGAAAATGAGCCAATGTTCGTACATTTTCATCATATATTTGCTTTAAATTCATTTTACTGCACAACACTAAAACCTAAAG